AGCGGCCACCCCACCAGTATTCTGAATCTTTATACATTAATTAATCAACCAAAACGCCCTTGAATTCACTAAATTAAGCTCTGGGGCATCTAGTAATCCGATGCCCTTTCTGACCGCACCCAGAACATTTGATTTGACGACGTACAGGAGGTAAAATAGGCAGCTCGGGCTCCACTGGGAGAGTTGGGATAGATGGTGTATTAGATATATATATCTCACCACCATCATTACCATCAATCTCAGCGACCGTACGATTTGTGAGACTACCCTGGTAGGATATCTGCTTTTTCGATTTAGCCCTCTTTTTCACCTGCTTTGCATTTGCAGCCCGTAATCGCTTGATTTCCGCATCTTGAAAAATAACCTTATGTATGATCTTGAGGGTCATATTATGATACCGCTCAAGATCACGCTTAGTAGGGCTAGATAGCTTATTTAACCCATCACTCAGTACAGCATCGATCCTAGCTTTGCGCTTTGCTAGTTGCTTAGTGTTCTGAGGTATACCAGTTGAGATATTGCTATCTGATGTCGAGCCTTGCGAACTAGGTCGATCTGGTAGGGGTGAGGATTGAAGACGAATATTGAGCTTAGATAGCACTCGATCAGGTTCAAATGGGATCAAACCAGTAGCCGCAAAAGCACTATAAATAATAGTGTCTTTAAAAGCATCTGCGCGAGCCATAGGGAATATATCGATGAAGTCGTCTTTCTCGATAGAATTGATGCCTAATCGGGTATATCCTGCAACCCGGCTTCCATAAGACCTCTTCAAAACCGCAAAACAGCCTACATCAAGAGGCTGTAAAAGATGAGATGCACGGGCAGGCATACAGATTGGTATGATATGATTTTCCTCGCAAATCTTATCAAATTGAGCCGTAAGGTGACTGTTATGACCATCGAGAACCAAAAGACGATATTTTCCCTTTGTACAACTTGTAGTATGCGGTATAAAGTGTTTTTGTAGCCAATCAACACCAATCTCGTCACTCGTCCATCCATTAGGGCTATGGTTTATAGCCCATTGGTCAGGGAGGTCGTCGAACCATCTTTCCATGAAGTTTTTCCCTTTGAAAATAATGTATGGCGGGAGCGCATATCCAGATGCACCAATAGCCTCAATTATAGTCACCCATTCACGATTCCCAGCTTGTAAAACCCCTCTCCGACCGGTGTAAAATGATTCAGTAATCACTTTAGTGGTCGCACTAATCCCCATCGCAAAGCCTGATTCATCAAAGTTGTAAATATCATCTGATAATACCCCATACTTGATAACAGTTTTTTGAAAGAGATTAAACCACTCTATGATAACCTTTGGATCTTCCATTAAGGCCCTCTGGTAGTCATATTTGCGAGAGAATCGGCTCGTAAGCCCAGGATATCGTTTAAGATATTGGGTTGGCCAATTTTTACTAACAGTCTGGGGGGTATCATCACCCCGGCGCTGGAGTAATAAATTGGCCATATCTCGTAACATCTCGATTGTAAGAGCTCCACCTCTCGAATCCATAGAGATTAACCAATCTTGAATCGATTCCTCCTCAGCTTGAGTAAATTTATGGCCGTTTGGTCGAGTATCAGACCGATTCGTACGGCCGGTCAGGCGGGCCCGCAGGGTAGAACGAGGGACATCGAAAGAGCGTGCAGCAGCTGCGACCGAAGGAATTTGGCCATTTTGAATAGCTTTGATAGCTAATAGGACCCTGCCCTCTTGTTCGATGAATTTTTGGGCTTTTTCAGTGCGTTTTGGGGGCATTGTGGATGATTAAAAACAAAGGTTGCTTAGGAGATGGGAAATTTGGAGTGGGGTGGCCGCTCGGCAAGGAATCACGTTAGACCTTGATCATGCGTATGTAATCTACAACCTATAGCTCATTATACACCTCAAATGAGAAGTAACTTACTGTCTCTCTTCATTACCTCACTGACTTGAGTCCTCTATTAGTCCGACTTCATGCGTTCTGCAGTGCTCCTCCCCCTTTCTCGGCCTTGCACAGCACCAGAACCTCGTACTGTGCGATATTTTCATCGAATCACAACAGATTTCGTTACCTATGATGCGAGAGGAAATCTTCTTTCCAGGAAGGTGCCTGTTATTATCGGCAACCCGGGAGAAACATATGTTCTGATTGACCCAGGGGTTGGGAGTGCACTCCGTGCTGCGAGTCCCTTTACATCAACTTCTGCAGCTTGTGCCGAAGATAGATGTAAACTTACATTTTTCCATGATTCACAGCACTTTAGGTCTGGTACGTTGCTAGTGCGCGAGATTTCTTTTCACAGCGGGCCATCTTCAAGGACCGTTGGACTCGACGCCGGTGCGCTTTAGACAGTGCCTTTTTGACCAACCGAATTTTCTTGTTGCGTGCTTCAGAATAGGCGAACCAGTCGTGGAGGTCCTTTGTTCGCGTATGCTGGCGTCGCAGACGGTGGACTTCTTTGGCAGCCGCCTTGCACTCATCATCAAAATCAGGGTTCGATCACACGGACGGTTTGGCCCATGGAGTCGAGGTTCTGATTGCTGATTGAACAACATCGATTATTGTTCGGCACTAGGCCTCGATCTGCGGAGGGGGCTGCTTCAGATAGGTCTCTTGCTTCTAACCTCTGTTCGGTTGACTGAATCAGCATTTTATCATCAGTCGCGTTCCAGTTTCGCCGCTTCTGCTGTGTGAATACAGGTGTTTCAATATCAATCACCGTCCTAATCGGAAAGTGGTCAGCTGAGTGCTCAATGTCATCCCCTCGCTCGCATTTGACAAGCCTAATGGCGAGGCTCGAACTAGTGAAGGTGAGGTCTATCACCGACAACTGGTCATTTCGAGTCCAAGTCGCTTTCCTTGCTCGGTAAGCAAGTCGAGGTCTAGTTCATCAGTAACCTCCAGTAGCTGCTCGGCCTCTTTGTCGGCTCTAGTCCTTATGGTTAAAAGCTTTTAGTGATCCTCAATAGAACGGATAATTTGAGAGTGTACCGTGGATTGAATACAGCTCAGTAACTAGCTGAGCGGCTTCGTGGGAAACAAAATTTAATAAGCTGTCTAATCACTTCTCCCGCAATTGTTCATTACAAGTTCCATAGATAAAATCAGCCCTTAGTAAACCAGGGGTTTCATGGTGTTGTGATCGTTACAACGACAATTTCAGGCTATCACAACCTATACCCATCATGTATTCTATTGTCTTAATTTTAGGTTTTGTAAGATGATCTTTATATTTCCAATGTGAAGGATAGCTTTATCACCACTCAATGCTCCTCGGATCATACCCTGTGTACCAAATTTTTGGTACTTGCACGCCGAGTACTGTTCGCGGCAAAGAGAACACACGTCGGATAGGTAACTGTAAAGTAATTGGACCAGTGTAATCAAAGAAGTAGGGTGTGAGATCCGGATTTAATTGATATGTTAGCCCGAATCGACCTCTGAATGATTCCGTTAGAGAAGAAGGAATGGAAGCTAAAGTTAAGAGCTTCATATTCCTCTGCCATGGTTTATTCGAAAGAGATTCAATGTTTTGGAAGTTGCATCGTACTCCTTTGAGGGAATATAACTTGACCGTGGGTGGCGACTGCATATATCTTAGGCCGCATGCTATTGTCAAGGGTTGTTGTAGGTCATCGGAGTCTTGATACACCTCGAACCGCTTTACGACCGCCATTGAGAGAAGGCGGGGATAAAAATTCTACCCAGGAGAGGTCAGACCAGTCATGGGATATATAACCCTCCTCTTGATACTCATGAATGCAGATTGCCAATATTAGACTTGGCCATGAGTACTTGTAAATAGCAACAATAGCTTGGTCACAATTGGATCGGGAAGGCCACTGCAGCAACTGAGCCTTTCCTGTGTATGACTGAATGTTGGCAGAAAGCTTGGAAAACTAAAAATTGCTTTCTTCCTTTCAAGCTTGCGTCAATTCGGCAAAAATTCGGCAGAGCGAAAAAGAAAAATGAAACTCCAGTCCAACACTGTTCCCAAAAATGACTCCTTCATCGCGGCCCAATAGCAAATAAGGTCTAGCTTCGTCAATTTTTGCAGATGACGCAGCTGAAGAGATTACTTGAAAAAGAAACCGCCTAGGCTCTAGTCTATAAAGAAGCGTGGAAATATTACATGACAGCCAGAATCTCTTCCGCTTTGTGGGCAGAGTTTGCCAGCGGCGAAAATATCACTGAATGTCCGTGTAGTTCACTTTAATAAGAAGTTCCCAAATATATAACGTTACACCACTGTACCTTGATCCGCCAGATCCAAATATGGTACATGTAACTGCAGAAGCAGCTTCTCTATGCTTATTTTGCTTGGAAAATGGAGTAGAAAAGAGAATGAGATATCTGCAACGTAGGTGTGACATATTCGCGATCCAATGGAGTTTCGATGGGTCAAGTTTCGTCGTTGTCACAGCCCAGGTTATTGGACTGAATCTTGATATTGATTTGATTATAGTAAATATCAGATGGCCAAATGAACGCCTGATGGGTTTGATGAACTGACTACACAAGATGGTAGATAATTCCCGGTTGTTGAGGGAAGTACCTCTGCAATATTTCGCAACAGCTACTCCGCTCGTACGGTATACATACGTTAAAGACTCTGTGCCAGCAAGACAAAAGAAGCGATAGATTCGTCATTGCGCGTCTTTCAGATGGATGTATAGCGTAACAGCATGTCATCTAATGAAACTTATCTGGAAACATTCTGCTTTTGACTTGGAAGCCATTCCCTGGGCAATGTTACAGACCTAAATTCGCGGAACCATAACGTAATCTAGCTCAGTCAATCCTTATAATTTCTTATCTTTGTAGCCCGGCTCAAACGTCACGTAATACACTAATGACTTGAAAATATGGGTCTCGAACTGATTTACCAAATTGCGGAAAAGGTTTAAAAAGCCAGAATGATCCAAGAAAACTATCGACTTGATCGAATCCTCCATCATTTTCTTCCCTGCTTTCCTCCCAAATCTGCAAATCAACAGCAAACTAAGCCTGTAAATGGACGATTTGGGTGATGGGCTTCCCTCACAAGATGAGTTACGCACTGCTGTCTCTTTATCTAGAGCCATGGAAGCAAATGTCTGCCATCAAAGCAGCAGCCATCCCGAAAACACCCATGACGCGGAGCTCCATTCCCCCGCCGAATCGTATAAAGCTCCAAATATCTCTGGAGATTTCTTTCCCACAGAGGAGAAGCTGCGGTCTGCCCTTGCCGATGCTCAGTTACAGCAAGGCGTTTTACAGACAGAGTCAAGCATTGCTAGGAGTTTTGGAGAACAGCTTCTAAGTGATGCACTGGCTACCAAGGTTGCAGATTTGCTGAGCAAGCCTCGACCTCAAATCCTTGAAGCTGACGCTTACCTTGGTGAAGCCAATGAAGAGAATGATATTCATTGGCTTGATCTCATTCAAGAGTCACAGTTCGAGCCTCGGTGTCAAGATAACGGAAACTATCAATGTCGTATCCAAAAGCGCAATGCTTTAGTTCGGATATCCGCCTGGGATCACGACCTGATTTTTACGTGTCGGCAACTTGTTTACACTCAAACCTACTTAAGTGACATGTTGGTTGAACGAGACACTTTGGAATTCATGGCGAGGGGTCTGTCGTCGTGCAACCAAATTGCTTCCGATTGTGAGTGGGGTGCCCCGATCTCATGTAGCTTTCCAATGACTAATGGGGAAAATTAGTTATCAAGACCAACCAGGTGACACTCGCACAAATCACTAGCAGATTGCAGCCCCTTCAGGAAAAATTGAAACGATTGACTAGCACACTCCAGCCGCCTCTTTCTGGGCTCCACTGCGATAGTGCGAGTGAAGAAAATTCAGCACCCAAGCACGACGAGCGAGCCAGTAATCATTTTGAAGAAAGCAGGACTACAGCAAAAGAAGAAGGTTGGACGCAACACTCCACTCCAGTATAATGAATATAGCTGATCACAGGGTGCAGAGCTGCCCCATTCCCGCCGATGGACTTCACCGCATCTTCAATGCCTCCTGCCCTGGTACAAAATTCATGAGCACCTACCCGATGATGCGATTGAGAAAAAATTCAAAGCAGATTTTCGTCACTATCGAAGCTGCGGTGCGATCCGCGCCGCTGTTAAACGGGAAGCAAAAAAAAATCGCAAATGGCACGTGAAGAAAAAACGAGCGGCTCCAAGAACGGCAGAGCCTGAATCTGGCATGCTTTCAACTATGTCGGTCTCTCTTCAGAGCCAATACCCATGAAATGCACATACATCGAGCACTTTGACGGAAAGGAAGTCAGACACTGAACCAAGCCAATTCCCGAGAGCCTTGACAAGGAAACTTCTACCACCACGGTTCAGGCACAATCCAAGCAGCTACGCACAGTCTGCCGCACCAAAATTTCATGAATATGAGATGAGCCGTCCAGCCGTGCCTGGATCTGTTTAGAATCAAGTGCGCGGTGCTTTGCGAGGAAGTAACGTATATATGAGGTGCCGGAATAGGGCGGTGTGCCGAAACTTCACATAGATACCTTCATCTTCAACGAAGATAAATTTATCATACGATAATGATTATCCCATGAAAAGGTATTTTTCATTATCTCCTGCCTCTCCAGTTAAATTGTTGCTAAATTGAAGTTATTATACAGCCTATTGATCAGGGCGTGACTGCGCGAACAACCGTCAACTGGAATAGAATATAAAACAGCGGTACTTGGATCTTTTCTCGCTCGGATGCCACAGGAATCCAAAATGCCTAATTTTGAAATTACACATAACTCAAAATCTATATTGTGGAACTGAATACTTATATCAATATGTTTACACTATGCTGCTTGAGAACTTTGTCTCTGAAGGTCGGTCCAGGATACTTAATGACGACCGGACTGTGGCACCCGTTACGACGAGTGATACGAGCGATTGTCAGAATATGTCACGATTAATACTGTACTGTAATCCGGTGTAAAGGCCATACATTAATCCGGAAGTCCGCTCTGTTGGTCAACCACAGCTCGGCAGCCATCCATGCTTACGACCGACCCAGCAACCTTGGTTAACCAACGTAATTCTCAGCCGAGTTCATATCTCAACAACTATATCTAATTGTGATAAAATATCAAAGTTAACTTAAATCATCTCAATACTGTTTCTAGCCCTCTAGGGAAATGTAGAAAGTTAATGGAAGTTAGTTGAAGTAATCATGGAAATATATAAATGCATTTCCCTTTTGCGAAAATTACGCCGTATATTGTGCTAAAGCAACGTAATAATCATTTGAATAGCTTAAACCCAAAAAGGACTATTTCGTATGCTTAGAAAAGCCTATATGCTAATACTCAAATAATAATATCATACAGTATGGTTGTTGAGATAATGCATGATGAAATGGGAGATGCTCGATGGCAGTCTGGTCAAAACAGACGGGTCGACAAATGGTGGCAAGAAAACCCAACAACAAGTCAGGTCTGTGAGCTCTAGACAAATGATGCCTATCAGGGATAATCAGATGCTATATCAAGGAGCATAATGATCATAAATCTTGAATCAGGAAATGAGTGGCATTGTTGTAGCTGTCTATCCTTCTCTACAGTCGTAGGTTGCCCATAACCCTTCCTCACTGCCTGAGGCAGTAATCATACAAGTGTCGTGATTTCCCCACTACAATGAGTAATTTGTCGCCTTTACTATGTGGACGGCTGGGAATCACGTTAGCACTTGCTCGACACACTGTCTAAACTGGTCTAGTAGGTCATTTCTCACATCCCAGTATTGACCCTGTGGCACCGCGCGAACGGACGGCCATCAAGGGAGGAGAAGGCAGCAAACCAGCAGTATCTGACTAGACCTCGGAATTACCCTTGCGCGGGTCGGCTCAAAAGTTTTGACCCGCGCCCGACCCTCAACCCTCGCCGGTCCTCGCGCGGGTGATCCTCACTGACCCTCATAGACCCTCATTTTTCATAAAGTTTCTACGCTTTACTTGAATCGGATGGATAAAAATGCGAATTCATCTTATAAAATACTGTTATTTACACTTGTTCTAGTACGTTAAATGATAATACTATAAACCCACCAAGAATGAATTGAATATTATTAAAATCCCTCTCGATCTGATAACTGCACACTTGAATCTTTCACATTTTGACTAGATATGTATAGAAGTCTTTACAATTAGGTAGTTAAGAGAGGTTAGTGAACAGATATACGCTATTTCGGGTGCAAAATATATATCCAGTACTGCGGTGCACAGTGTGTCCTCACAACCTTTCGTCCTACAATATCACTTCAACACTTATTTTATAGCTAATCTTTCTATGATTTAGAAAGGAACACAATAGACGTTGAGTGATTTTGAGTAACTTGAAAAGTAATTCCAGAGTTCCATTCTGATCTTTCTTCATGCCAAAGGAATGTCACTATGACTCTATGAGACTGGCGTGATTTTCTTTTTTGAACCACGTAGGCCGCCAGGGTCGAGGGTCTCAGACGGGTGACCCTCTGATTACGAGGGTAAATCTGCGGGTGACCCTCGTAACCCTCATTTCTTAGCTAATTAAATAACAAAAGACCCACTGCTAAGTGGAGTGTATCGATCTATCAACTTCGAATCTTCAGCTCTCTAGATTCCCCTACTATCCCCTGGTCGTCCCCTAGCCGTTTCAAATTCTATTAACCAGACTTTTGTCTGTAAGTCCTTTTGATTCTCATTATGCCTCCTTCTTCGTGACTCGTGAGCCTTACTTAGCACTACGAATATCCTACATTATATACTATGTCCCTACCCTTCTCTGACCCTCATCCTCCTCTATCTACGGGGGGATCCTTCAAATCCATTTTACTTTAGTCTTCCTATCGACTCGCAGTTTACACCAGAGATCTCAGAAAGCCAAACTGCCTCAGTCGTCAACTCAGAATTCACTCAACATCTACCTCTACCTCCTCCTATCCCCGACAGCCTTCAACGCGTAGGCCCCGACCGGTATATGCAGTACGTTCTGTATACTACCATGTCAAGAGACGCTTTCGTTACTTGGTGGTTGATGACAGAATATGGGATGAAAAAACGAATCAATTGGGACACAAACCACTCTTCTGAGTGTTGGAAACAGTTTGACCAGGTAGCAGATATAAAGACTGGGAAGCCAATGGTTATGTGTAGGGTGTGCGCTGCGCCTCTACAACATCCAGCCCTTTGCCGCCATGGGGACTTCTTCTATGAATAAGCATCTTAAGGGCCCGACCTGTTGTAAGAGCACTAAAAGGCCAAGTATTAAGCAGATGATAGAGGACGCTGTGAGTTAGAGATCCCTCTCTATTCTTTATAAGAAACTTATACTACTAGGCGAAACATGCTCCGAAAGCCATGGTCTTTACGCAGGAAGAATGGGAGCACAAAATTCTAAGACTCCTCGCTTTGTCACGACTTCCTTTTCAATTCATTGAACATCCAGAGTTCCATGAACTTATTTCTTTCGCGCACCTTGCACCACAGCGGCCTAATATTCCTACTGCAAAAACTATTCGCGCCCGGTTACGAGGATATGTAGCGGAACAGCAACAGAGTATGCCACGACAACTACCAGGAGACTCAAAGCTCTCACTAGCATTAGATTGTTGGACGTCTGCCTTTCAGCAAGCGTTTACGGCAGTAATCGGCTACTTCCTCGACAATAACTGGGAGTATCGGGAGGTTTTACTTGGCTTTGAGCCTCTTTCCGGTACCCATTCGGGTCTGAATCTTAGTGAGGTACTAATGAGGCTCTTTCAACAACACAACATTACAGACCGAGTGCTCGCAATTACCACCGATAATGCGTCGAAAAACAATACCTTGGTCAACTTTATAAATGAGGCTATCCAGTCACTTGAGCTAAGTGACAGCTCTACTATTATACGCGTTCCATGTATAGCACATGTCATCCAGCTTAGCCCAAAGGATCTCCTTGGTCAATTGAAAGCAAATCCAAAAAACGAGATGGCGGAGACAGAGTGGTCTGAATCTCGTAACCAGTCTCTTCGTGCGGCACAGCAAAAAAGAGAGATAATTGACACGTTGAATAAGGTAAACAGCTTCCTTTTAATTTGCATTTATTTCCTAATTTACCTATTAGATACGCAGCCTAGCGATTTATATCAACAGCAGTCCTCAGCGTCGAGAGGCCTTCTATAACCTTCAAACAGAGGAGCCAAAACTTGTTCCTATCCAGGATGTTAAGACTCGCTGGAATTCGACCTTTCTTATGCTCCGGCGCGCAAAGCGGCTACAGTCTACCTTTGATGAGTTCTGTGAGCATTACGGCCAAGAGCAATTTGCCCTTAGAGCAGAGGAATGGCGCCAGGTTGAATATCTGCTTTGGATTACACAACCATTCTTCAAATTTACATCCCTTCTCTCGCAGACGAAAGATGTGACAATTCATCTCGTCTTGAGCATCTACAATAGGCTCTTTGACCATCTAGAAAAGTCAATCCGGCAGCTGCAGCGAAAGAAAGTCCCTTAGAAGCAGCTAATGTTAGCTGCCCTTCATGCGGCTAAGGGAAAGCTCTCTCAATACTACAGTATGATCGATCAGATCCCGGGTGACCTTTATGCAATTGGCACAATCGTTGCACCGCAGCAGAAGCTACAGTTTTTCTCCACTAAGGACTGGGATAATGCATGGCGTATACGGTATCGCAATAGTCTTGAAAATTGCCTCGAACCCTATCAACGGCGGCTTTTAAGCGCCCAGCCATCGGCTAAGGCTCAGCCATCAGCCTCAGCTATCTCAGAGCTTGAAATGATATGTGAACCAGAAGCGTCTCAACTGTTAACAACTGAACAACACAATGAGCTTTTCGCAATATCTTGATAGCGGTATGTAACATAAAAACTGATTCATTATATCCCTAACTAACGTTTCTAATAGCAACGGTTCGTTCTGGTCCTCGCATCTTCTGGAAGGAGCACCAGCATGAATTTCCAGCGCTTGCAAGCCTTGCCCGCGACGCTCTCTCAATCCCCGCTACTGGTGCAGGTGTAGAGCGGCTGTTTAACTCTGCACGGGATATCTGCCATTATCGCCGAGGCTCCCTTACCCCTACGACTATCCAAGGCCTGATGCTATTCATGTGCACATCCCGGTTCGATTTTGAGGATGAATAAAGGGCAATGATCAATGAGTATCTCTCATATGAAGAGATACAGGCGGCTAGTGAGGAAAGGGATACCGAGGCGAGCGGATTTGACCCAATTAGTGAAGACGAGGAAGGAGGAGAGGAGGGTTCTATTCGGACACAGTGCCCTAATCAAGCTCCTAGTGAGCGAAGCCAAAGTAAACGGCGACTGAGTGTTAGATCTACACCAGAAGAGAGAAACAGAGATGACGATGAAGATGTAAGAGATCTTCCGCCACCTGATATGCAGCAGCGTACGTCAGGTAGGGTCCGGAAACGATCAAGACTTCTTGATGGATATGAAACACCATAAGTAGTTCTGTAGCAGAATTTGATATGAAAACAGAGCTCTTTTATCTGATCTATACAAGATCTATTGAATATTCTCTGTAGTCTGAAGATGTAAGCGAAATACTCAAAAATACTGCTTAAATTTACATAAAATATGCAGCCCACGAGTTCCTACTGTTTGTCACGTTTGACTACCCGTGGGTAACCCACGGGTGACCCTTACGAGGGTCGGACCTAACCTGGACCCTCGCTGCAGGTGAGAAAGTCGGACCCTCGACCCTCAAAATGAGGGTCTGAGGGTGACCCTAGGAGGGTCACCCGCGGGTCAGGGCGAGGTCTACTCTGAACAATTTCCGCACGGTTACTTCGCTCGTTACGGTATACATACGTTATACGTGGGGTCGCATGGGTGAGCACAACCTCGTCATCGCCTGGCTGACCACTGAAGTATAACGTAATTCACTACCGAGTGGCCACCTCCAAAACGCATGGTAAATCCAATGTATTACAACTTAGTTTCTCAGCAACGAGAATCTATATAGAGTTTGTCTTAATAAACTAATGCTTTTCAGGTAATAATTAGCTTCTCTGGGGAGTTTGAATATGTTTACGACTTTCTAAGTACGACATTATATATATTTCTGGCCCTCAGTAACGTAATTTCGAAAATCATGATAATATAACGTTTCGAGATTCTTGAAATTAATATATAGGATTTTAAATCGTTATCGATCACTATCCAGAAAAAGTAAAATCAAATAATAATGCGGTTGTTGAGATACTAAGTTGTAATATATCGAATTTACTATGCGTTTTGGAGGTGGCCACTCGGTAGTGAATTACGTTAGCAAGTGCTAAGGTTGCTGGATCGGCGGTACGCATCGAAAGGTCCTCGGCGGATAGGGAGCTGGACCAAGGTTGGAAGATTTCCGGACCAACAGGGAAGGGGGCTGACAGAGTACCCGACCGTGGGAGGAAGCGAGTGCTAATTTTGGAAACCCGGATAATGAGTAAATCCTTAACTATATATCATAATACACACTTTCCGTAATACATCGGGTAATATTCGCCGTGAAATTATTCGGTATGATAAATTACAGCAAGTAACGTCTATCCCTTCGAAACCGCTTCCCGCCGTCACCGCCCGTGACCGAGATACTTTGGAAGTCGCGCCAGAAATTCTACCTTTATATATTGTCGGAACTTTGCAATGAAATGATGTTAATATCGCCATTATCTCCTTCATTTGCTGCGTCTAATTTTATCGAAAATTACATCCGGTTGAGTGTTCTTTTCATCGTGGAAACCTCTGCCGTCCCAAGCAGGGCTTTGGCCGGCAAACACTTTTATCCAGCTGTAGTCCATAGCTAGCGAGTGGTTAGGGGAAGCTTCGGATTTCTTATTAAAGCCACGTTTTAACATATGTCGCCAACTAGAATCATATTTTCTCTACACACTGTATCAGGTAAAATGCTTGTTGTTTGCTTCAACAGAAATCCTTGGGGTACTTTCAATTGCTTAGTAACGATGATCCGTAAAATACCATTACAGAGGCGATGTAACAGCCCTGTCTTGTATGAAACAAGGCCAAATTTGACATTTCCTAGTCACGTGAGATCAAGGCGAAAATGCCTTTCGGAACGGAACTTGGTTTTTCCTGCACATCTACTTTCTCGAATCATGGAGAAGTAGGTGGGGCCTTTGTCCGGTCCGAGATTGAACCCGAGGAATGACCTTTCACGTGTAACCAAGCTCCTACCTCACCCGCTCTTGCTGGTCAAAAGAGAATACTACGATGGCCACGCACCGTTACCGTCACCGTCACCAGTCCTCTTTGGAGGGAGTTATAGACTTCTCAATACCTTTATCATTAACAGCTCAACAGCGCCAGTCGGCGAGGGACCTTGTGACCTGGCTTTCACATGGGTATGGCCTCGAACAGGCTGGGCGGAAGGGTTACAAGCCAGCGGCACTTATACAGGCTACCCTTGAGCATGTCGCATCGCCAGATCATTTCCTAAAATTTTTCGTTTCATATATCTACGAAGAATTATGTCCAAAGGATACAACTGTGGTTGATTTCAACATTGATGACGCCTTGTCGTATTTCGATGGCTTGGCTTCACGGAAACCTGAACAGTTGAACAACCTTAAGGAAGCTCTTGAAAAATGCGCTGAGTATATTGTTGAAAATTTCCTGCTTCCCCGTGTGTTTGTTCCACACCCATTTGTTTTCAGCCATGCTTTCAGCCATACTAAGCATAGGCTAACTTGTGGTTTTAGTCAGAGCCTCATCTGTCAAAACGCCACAACCGACTCCCACATCATTGTCGTCCCTGCAAAGCTCTACTCCAACCGGAACCAGGCAGCGTGTATCCGTTCTACGACAGAGTTGTCTTGTGCGTGACCGCCACCGTTGTGTAGTTACTCGAAAATTCGACCGAGCCGAAGCCAAAAAACGATTCGCACAAAATGGAGAGTTCTGCACGGATGATGACGATAACCTGTTGAGGGGAGAGTCTAGTGACCAGTTTCAGTTCTTGGAGGTTGCCCATATTCTGCCCCACTGTCTGACAACAATAGCTTCTGGAGAGACGGATTTGGTATGTCTGATACGGACGTTCTATCTGACCATTGCTAATGCGGGTGCTTAGAGTGATTCAAAGAAAAATGTTCTCCGCATCTTAGATATGTTCGATCCTGGGATTGGCCATCTCATTGATGGCCCGAAAATCGATAGCCCCTCAAATGCCATCACTTTAACCCTCGATTATCACCGGTTATTTGGCGAGTTTCAGATTTATTTCCAATCCACTGGCATACCTCACCAGTACAGGATTGACTCCACAGAGCAAAGCCCTTTTCTGCGTGACCCTTTGTTTCCTGTCACTCGCGACCTCACCTTGAGTCCCAACCATACAATTGATCCTCCATCCTCCCGGCTCCTCGATGTCCATCGTGCAATTGCCCTCATTCTGAAACTGAGTGGCGCAGGTGAGTATATTGAGAGAGTCCTTAGGGACATGGAGCAGTTACACATCAGCGAGGACGGGTCAACAAATTTGGGATCCCTTGCGGGCCTACGACTTGGCGGATGGTTAACCTTATCTGTGCATTAATCTCTTATGTCATCAGTGTACCTGCTCACTTTCCCATATCGTTCGCGAGAGGTCAGGCTACGGTGCCGACCGTCATTGCCTTCCATATCCAGGAATAGTAAGTTAATATTTCAAACCTTCATCTTACTTAGGATGAAAAGTATAGAATTGGATGGCCATGTACTAGTACATGCACGGCTAAGGTAAAAATTACATAACTATCGAAAAACAACAACTCCACCGTCGCTCTGAAAGTAGCAACTACAGTCGCCCAACCCGCAAACATCTTCCATCAGTCAGAAGCTCTCTCTCTCTTAAATAACGCTTTCGGAAATTGGTCTCTCTACCAGGGCACTGGGAATTTGCTCCAACACTAAACGTGCCCTACCTAACGGTTGGTACAAACATGATTTTTGGTAGAATAAGCAGGGTAAGCGGGGCTGGAATATTCTGGAAGAATAGTCGGCCTGGGGTTAATCGTAAACTTTGTCAAAATAATTTTATCATATCTAAGCTGTTCAATATGGAATCCTCAGAAGTTCCTGTCGACCACAGAATCATCAAGATAATCAAACGCGTCAAATGCCCTCCTCATCATGGTCGGAGCTCACACATCGACATTCTCGACGCATTTTCACGGACTGCCATACGAGACAATAAGCCCATCCCCGAATGTGAATCCCACCATACATCAGAGCTTGCCGGCCCTGATACAACAGGTGGTGTCTTGATCACGCTTCTTCGCCCGCCTCGGAACCAATGCTTTGATCACGGCTATAGTGCAGAAATTAGCCGTTGCCGTACAACACAGGCGGTGGCTGATTTAATAATCACCGCAACGAAATCACTATCGACGATGTTAGCGTATTTGACACGTTACCCCTTTCGCCTGAAGGATCCGACGATAATGAGCTTGTCAGAGAGGCCGAAGCAACTTTCAGCCACATGGTTGAAGCCAAAAAGCCCGACGTCATCCTCTGCTGCTATCAAGGCAATTCGTCTAACTCTTTTGTCAACAATCTTCGCAGCATAGGAGCGGGTCAGGTTTTTGGCCCGCATGTCTTCACAATTAGCTCTGATTGCAGTGCTCAAAGGATTAACGCATTTCATCCCAGTTATGCGGTCAATTACAACGCCACCTATAGTTGCTTCCGCCGCCTTCTTCTTCTTGAGTTCACCTATGCCTTTTATAACTGGACAGGAGAATGGAAAGAGGAGCCGTGGATGGAGACTTTACGATTACATTGTCGCACAACTGCCCAAAAAATCTCCCGTAAGCGGCATCGAAATTATTCAACCTAGCGTGGCATCTATAATAACCTTTTATCAGGGGACCAGAAGAAGATGCAAGCAGAAAAACAAATCAGTCAACCCGATGTAATGATGCATCGCTGGAACAGTACAGTCGATAGCGAAAACAGCTTCTACCCCCCAGACTGCTTTTCTTCTCCCAGGTTCCACTGCCAAGGCCTTAGCGCAAATCATCTATTGATCGGAGTACATGAAGTTGAGGGTCAGTGTACCAAGCCCGCGTACGGTACTGTAGCTCCTTGGCAAAATTACATCTGCACCCTAAATTTTAAGTAGTGAAGCTTGGTTGTTGTGGTACTAGGTATGCGGTATTTTACTGCGGCCCTCAGCTTGGTGTGGTCTGGCCATTAAAAGACCTACGCTAGTGCCTTGGAAGTGGGGCCTGGGAGAAGAAAGGCAGTCTGGGGGGTAGAAGCCGTTTCCGCTATCGACTGTATTATTAGTGGATTAAACACGGCCTTGTATGAGATACAGTTCTTTCGAGCCAATATGAGCAGCGACCAAATCCAAACGCGGCTGACGGAGAGCAACCTATCCTGGCATTGCGCTGACGCGGTTCTTTTTCTTTCAAATTTTGGAGATGCCCACGACACCGGAAAGTATGCTCAGATACTCTTGGAAAGCTTTTATACTTGGTGCAAGGAGGCTTGTGCACCCACAAAGCCCGAGATAATCAGTGAAAAAGATGAAAATCGCGGCTATTTTAAACATCGGTACCTCACGGAGGTTACCGCTGAAATTCCTGATAATTTCACTCGTCGCCTCCACAAATGTTTCCTCAGTTTTTTGAAAGACATGAATCTTTCTTTTCGAAGGACAGAAGATAGCTGCAACCGATTCAATTTCGACATTCAAACCCAGAGAGACGCATTTTCCCGCTTCTCCCTGAGCTTGGAAAAAGAGTCAAGCAAAAATAGCCCGATTTGCAAGGGACTTGAAAATCTGGCAATACACTAAATCGAATCAAGAACTATTTGTGAAAGGAATTTGACCAATTAAAGTAACTACATGCGTCCAAGGATCCTCGATGCCAAGTTCACAAAGTGTACATTCAAGAGTAGTCTAACTCGCAAAACCGGGGAAAGAGTCAACATATCAAAGACTGTATGACATGGAACACTAATACTACATTCCATCTTCAGATCCATTCAATTCCCTCGTTCGTCATTATGCGAGATTTCGGCGGCAAAGTGGACAATTCTGTTTCAATTCAAACCAGCCCGTCAAGCATTGCTGATGAAAGACGTGTTGGCAATTTGTTATCACGAAAGCCTGGGCATCTTGTACAAGGCATATCGGGCATTCTGGAGACACCTGGGAAATATGAGGAGAGAACGTTGCCATGGTCAAATCCACAATCGGGACTTCATTTTCGAGTAAAGCCCATCCATGCTGTCCGCCTCTGATAAGGTATTCAGGGCTGCGAGAGGGTGTATAGATTGCGTCGAGAAGTATCGGCACAATTCTTGGGTCTTGGCCTGGCATCCGTCCCAGAGCTTTCACTCTCAGCATACCGTGCCGAGGCCCCTGACATTCACCGCAGAAATCGAGAGCAGGCCCATCGCAAATGCTGTCACGAGAGATAACTGACGGGGAAAGACTATAGTTATTACAGCCAAGGGCGTCTCCAGCGCATTGTTCCAGGCGAACGTACAGACGTTTGCCGAGACATCTTTCAAACGGACAGCTTTGTACTGGCACATTTTTCAACCACGATGTTTATTTTGTTGATATTAGAGTGAGGAGCACAATGAAGTGTCAGACTGTGGTATGTTGACTGGGTAGTGGGCTGTTTGGTTGGGTCTGCCAGTGGTTAATAAAGAAGTTGGCGTTAGGCGGTGGGATAGCCGTTCCTCGTGGATCGAGAGACCCAATTTTGGACTCCGGATTAAAAGAATATCCGTAATATTAAATTACAATACAATACAGTCTGCAATGTTCCCGTCACATATGCCTTAACGTAAGTCGTTACAGAGGCATTGGCTCGGTCGCATGATGAACTTCGGACCTAACTTAGGAGAGAAACTTCTCACGCAATCTATTAGGTATGCATCCTTTTAGTTGAGTGGATCGTTAAATTCGATCAGCAATTATAAGTAATTGCAAAATTAGATATTATAGACCCTTGTGACGCTGGAGCAAGCAATAATTTCACTCTAGCGGTGTATCTTTTGTTCACATTAACTGTTGTTCACCCAGCCATACCAAGTCAGCACGTCATATTATTCACATAAAACTAGGCAATATCTAATATGAGAGGTAGAAGATGATCTGAGCCACTTCCATCTAGAGTAAAAGTTGATTATAATGAAGGTATCTAGTTGAAGTTTCGGCACACCGCCTGATTTCGGCACCTCACAAATACGTTACCACATATATATTGCATAATTAATCTCAATCTAAAAGTAACCTAACTGACTAAAGCAGAAAGGCGGCCTGTCAAAAGCTAATAACTGAGCAGTACTCTTTATAGCCCCAGCTTTGTATTTCATCTTCAGCCCTTCGTACATCGTCACTGCAAGATCGTTTTGCTCGACGCCCACTGCTGGAATTGGTCTTGCGCTTCCCAGTCTGGGAGGCTTTTTTTGCTTCAAGGTTGCGCTGGGCCTCGATTATATCCTCATAGCTCATAACTTTAGCATTGCCCACCTTGCGTGCTGGCTTCGATGTTCGACTTCCATTTTCATTGTTCTGTACCAAGAGCCGCTCGTTGTCATTACGAAGAAGTGCACGGTCCGCGAATGCCTTCTCCGCTGCGTGGGCAAGACGGTTGACGAGAAGCCTAGAATCTTCGTCCCACCCACGAACTTCTTTTTGCATCTTATGACACAGTGACTTTAGACCGTCAGCCGTGATGGGTGTTTGTGGTGTTTGTAGCAGCTCTGCACTGGCAGGGTAATGGGCTACTTTAGCAACATTCCCCCCGTTGGAGCAACTGGCTCCTGGGGGCGGCTGAATGTCCTTCAGTACCCGGTCAGGGTTCCAAGGAAACAATCCAGTTTTAGACCATCCCGCGTTGATGTTACGGGGCGTTACAGCAGAGTTTCGCGCCCGGCTATAGAGGGAAGTGAAATGCTCCAACCGCACAGCATTAGCTCCACCCCGATAGAAGAGCTCTACTTGTTCCCGATAGGCAGTCTTCAGGGCACTGAACACGCTCACATCACATGGCTGAAGCTTATGCGAAGTATGCGAGGGAAGTCGGCAGGGAATGATGTTATTTGCTAGACAAAACTTCAAGACCTCGAGGGACTCATGCGCAGCAAACCCGTCGCTAATCAAAAGGCGCGGCCGCTTACCAGCACGGGCCTTGGTTTGAGGGTCAAAGACATGCTGGATCCAGTACAGGTTGATGGAGCTGTCTGTGTATCCGTTCTTTGAACAGGCGAAATGCCATCCGGGAGTGGGATAAGTGGTCCAATTACTACGGTGGGTAGAAGCAGGCCAAACGACCAGGGGATTCAGAGACCTACCATCTGCCGACAGGCACTCAACGGCAGTAACCATTTTCCGTTTGACAGCAGCACCACGGTATTTACACATCTCCTCCCGCCCTACTAACACCTTGAGAGCACTCAAAACACTCAGGAGGACGCCTGTCTCGTCCATGTTATAAACATTCTCCGCGAGGATCGCGGGGTTGTCCAGCTCCGTCTTGATGACACGAAACCAATCCTGCACCTTGTCGTAGATATTGTGATCATGTCTCTTCCAGTCTATTGTTTTTAGTGTCTTCGATGTCAGCTGGGGGTGACGGTTGTAAAATGCTTGTGGCCAGTTCTTCCCTGGCGGGCGAGTGTCCTCTTTGGCGACCGGGATTGGCGTATGTGATGAGCGTCGGCGGGCGATCTCCCACGCCAGAGCACGTAAGAATTTGACCGGGAGGGGGTAACCATTCTTCGATAACCGTAGAACGTATTCCAGTAACGACTTTTCTTCCTGCGGGGTAAGGTATTGCTGTTCCACAGCACGCTCCTTTTTGGAAATCCTACCATGGTCACGGTCGCGTAATGTAGAGCTTGGAATACCGCTAGACTTCGATAGAGCAGAGTAATTTTTGGGCTTATCAGAGAGTTCGTTTAGGGCGAGCACAGTTGTTGCTGGGTCGTTATGCTCGTTCATTGGATTGGAGTGTTTGAGTGTGACAGGAAAAAGTAAACTTGGCCCTGGAGGTGGGCAACACGACTGACCCCGAGAAGCACGTGGGCAAGAATCTCTCAAAATTAGAATTCCTTACAGTACATGCTCAGTACGCTTTGTATGTAATGGCTGTACATAAACCGTCCTTAATAAGCAGACCATGTACCCAAAAATTTCTTGTGCGAACAAACAGTAAATTTATTTCAGATGTGGACGGTGTATGGAGTTATAATTCTAGTTATTATTGATCGGAGTTATCTGTTTACTAAGACTTATGAGCTTAATTCCGTAAATATCGACTAGTCGGGGACCATGGAAGCTTAGCACAAATTTGCCACGGAAACCTTGTTAGCAACAGAAGTTCATTTGCCATGAAATATGCCAACAGATCAACGTAATTATGGTTGAAAATGGAACAGCCTATAACGAAAATATTAAATTCTTATTTGGAGTTGGGATTAATGATCTGCGACCGGTTGATTGACTTTCCTGGCATTATTTTCCAAAGTACCTCAATCCCGAGCGGGTACGAGGGGACGCAGTTGCGGTGGGACGCACGTCGTCAATCCCTCCGCAACCGCTTCCCGCCGCACCCGCTCAACCTCAAGATACTTTGGAATCAAGCATCCAAAACGTGAACAACTTTAGTGATACTTTCGAAAGAAAAGCAAATTAATACTGTCGATACTAGTCACTCATTGATAAAATTCCTTTTTATCTAAGATTACGTTGACTATTTGTGAATTTCGTTACGAGAATTACTACTGTTTGCTCTAGCATATCCCATACAGTTCGAACAAACCCAACTTGGCTCACAGCCACCTATCCTTCATACTAATAAGAATTCAATCCTTTAGTAGATTGATATGTTACAACAAAATTCACGAAGAATTTAATGTGCTTCTTGCGTTTCGTATATGAAAGAACACGATATACGCTCGCTCATGGAACTCTTGGGATACATTATTGGCTTACTAATGCGACATGTAAAATTTACAATACAGACGAACCTGTAAGGGATCTGTCCCGTAAAGAACCAAATCCAGATTTGACCCTCCTCCAGTCACGTGTTTTCGCTTTTATTGAGTTCAAAAATCACCTACACCCGTCATTAACATCATTCGGACTCTGGCGGTCTTAGTCACACGCTGAACATTTTGAAGAATGTAAACCCGTAGACGACACAAATACCTGACAGTGCGAGATAACCATTCATATGACGCTCCATAGGAGCCTTGTTGTCCAGCCAAGTTGACATTTCTAGTGAGCGTTCTGTCACCATTCCTGCAGGCTCGAGGACCGCACTTAGCAGGCTTGTCAAATATCACCATACCATGCCAGTTATCCAGCTGCCACTTCCATCAGTCAGACGTGAAATGAATCCAGCCTGATAAGTTGGCGACTTCGTCGCGTAGCACGTTATGATGCTGGTCCAAGCCCCAGGGGAACGCAATGCCATTTTAGAATAACTTGTGTCCCACCGCGACGCTCAAATTTCAGGTACTTCAGAAACAATGCTAGCAAAATAGACTAACTGGTGCTAGAACATTGCAATCAACTCTTAGTTACACCGTTCAAGTTCCATCCAAGATTACGTCCGTCTTTTGGCATATTCCATCGCAATTTACTTTCCGGTCCTTAAGGAGATTTTTGTGGTTTTTGTGGCGACTGCGCTCAAGCTACCGTGACACATAGCCAAACCTGTTTGCAAGAATAAGCTCATAATTCACAGAAAACATATACTTCCAATGAAGATCTGGCACAAGTTATATCCTCTTTACAAGTTCCATATCTGAAATAATTCTATTGTTTGCCTCATGAAATTCTTATGGTACCTCGCCGACTTATTGAGGGTTGACTTTAAGATTTTATGACATACAAGACGTGATGACACGGTAAAAACACGAGGGCCGTCCATAGCTCGGGGAAATATAAGGAACTAAAGCTTTACGTACGGTACAGCTCGGAGTCTACTTCGGTCGTATGTGTTGCTATAAGTCAATAAAGTTCAAGATTCCATTCAATTGAATTTTCAAAAGTCCGAGCAAATCAATCTTTGAGAAAGGTACGTAAGTTCGACTTCAGAATCTCATACTCTGCACTGCGGCAGCGAGAGAAGTAGCATGATAAAACACCGCCCTGCTCTCGCATCGCTGAAACCTCCACCTTACTATTGAAGAATGTAGTCATACTTTCTGACACGCTCTGCCTATTGAACTCATATTTTGGAATACCTTCAACCAAGATCGCCGTAGCCACGGGCTTAGAGTTCAGATCTAAGACGAGAACACCGCGTAAGGTCATTTCTGCGTCTGTGATCCGACACAGGGTTTGGAATCGACGAGGAGCCCCAGAACAAAAACCCCATCGCTTTGGGGACACTGGCTTAGTGTGTACTTTGTCACATATGGCACTAGTGCTCGCGACAGATCTCATCAAACAAGAGACAAACTGCCGGACTAGGTGGAGGAAGACCTGTTCCTCCGAGAGGACTTTCGCATACTGGCAGGCCTGTTCTAGCTCCAAGCAGCGTTCATTGGTGATACGCTTATAGGGACCGAGAGCGTGCAAGTCAACTCCTTTTCTCATGGCAGCAAGGCAAATGGTTTCGAAATTTGCCGGTGTTACACATCGCAAAAGCCCACGGATGGACGGTCGCTGGCCGAAAAATGCCCGTTCATAAATAACATTCAAGCATGCACTTTCTAGCATAGGAGATACACAATTCTCCAGGTCAACGAGGGCTATTCTTGGTGTTACTCCATATTGCAATTCTTGGTCAATGATGGGACAATTCCGGAAATCGACGTCAGAGAACCCAGCCTCGATAATGAAGGTGACAAGCTGCTGAAGTGCAGGGTTCAAACGTAGAGCAAGTTGGTTGTAAAGACTGCTTTGGAGCACCAAATCATGAGTTAGGTGCAGCCGCTCTTCAGCTATCACCCAGTACTCTTCAACATTGATCGTCAATTTCAACAAGCTCTGACGCGGAAGGACCAAAAGGGTGAGATTTCGAGCTTTGCAGATAGTGGAGCCGCGCTCAACATGTTGCCAGCGGTCCAGAATATCCTTCGAAATCTTGAAAATAATACTCTGCTGTATTTTCAAAGCGAAGATACCTTCTGAGAAAACCTCTGCGTCTTCAACTGGTTGACCATCTAATAAGGCTGCCCAGCGATGGAAAACAAACCAGAGAAGGGCCTTTTCTGTTCCGTTTTGCAAAAAGACGCCACCCAATACTTGACGTACACGCTCGCAAGTCATTGAGTTAGATACGAGGGATAAAGAAATTGGACAAGAGAGTGGCAGTGGTGCTTGCAACAATTAGATTCAACCGTATGATCTTGGTCGAAACTGACTTTGAGTCACCTGAGAGGGGAGGATTATAATACAAGAACACGTGACTACAAATGAATTATGGATTTACGTATCCCAGCAGAATGGCAAAGCATAAAGTGCCCCTGAGGGTTTAAGTAAAGCACTTAGCCATATCTAATGCTCGGTCATAGAGGTCAAGTTACAGGTCAAGCCACAGTAGAATGTATGGCCTTACAGAAAAAAGGAAATCATGATTTTTGGAGAGGACGATGCGATAGGACGCGGTTCAGGGCAACTAGCGTAATTCACGGCCGAACGGATCACACGCCCGAGCGGATCACCCCAAAACACCATACTAAAGGCGATAAATTACAACTTCATATCTTAGCAACCAGATCAATTTATAATTAAATATTGAGGGGTCATAGACTTAATACTATCTCCAGCTTAGTGGCGTACTCAAGAAGAACTAATCAAGGTATTGACCGAAATATATACATTCAAGTCTTGGGGGACAAAAATACAGTGTAATTTATAGTAACGCATCTAAGATATCTTTACATAGAGCTAAAATTCAGTGAATTTCTTCCTGTATCACAGTAAATGCATGATCTAAATTCTTAATCGGAATTAACCTTTGGTGGTCGAAATATGGGTGAATTAAAAGAAGGCACTGAGTATGGTGTTTTGGGGTGATCCGCTCGGGCGTGTGATCCGCTCGGGCGTGTGATCCGCTCGGGCGTGAACTACGTTAAGATCAGAGTGCTTACATTATCAGCTCATTACGTCTAGTATGTAATGACCTTGTACAAGCAATCAAGCAGACTAAGTACCTAGGAGATTGATGTGGGAGCATACAATAAACCTTTTTTATGATGATGATGATGATGATGATGAATTCATTTGCCCGATGTAGCTCGCTCTAAATAAATGCTGCTATGCGGGAGTGCTATCGAGCCTGCCGACAGCTAAAACGGGTATCCAGCCCCATTGATGATACAGAGAGGCTCATATTTTGAGCCTTTCTCTGATCACTCTGAATGTAGAATAAAGTAAGACAAAAGCAAGCGGGCTGCAAGTGTTGAATCACAACCACTTGGCCCGCAAGAAAATGAACGTTCCTGGTCCTCACCGCTTTCGTTGGGACCCCCTGTTTCACCACTCCTGACCCCAACTCTCCCCTTTCTCCGCATCTTCTTCAGCTGCCAGCAAGCGCTTGTGTGCTCGTTTGACTCAAGGGAGTACAGTGGACCTGGCACTGCACTCCTAGCGGGCAAACTTCTTCTCCTTCCGTCACACTGTCCTATGGATCATTGTTTCTCTACTTCGTCTGCTCCAAGAGCTATTGGATCCAGCCCCTGGAACTGGTCTAGGAGACCGGTTCTGATCATGTACTTGGCCACGATTGTGCGCGCCTCCAGGCGCGTCAACAATTCTTCGTGGCGGAGCGTGATGCCTTGCTCAGACAGGGCCTCGCGCATCTCGTTGCGCTCCTCCTGATGCAACGGGCACTCAAGTAGGACATGTGTCACCGTTTGGTTGCCCAAGTCGCAATCGCATCGTGCGGTCTCTCGCCGATTGATGCGAGCCAGATATGCATTTAGTCCGATGCGTCCTGTCCGCAATTGCATCAGGATGGATGCAGTTGCTTTGCGTAATCCCGACCAGTATTCTAGGGTTTTCCTGCTCGGTGTCTCGATCAACCTTCTGGTTGGTCGACCGGTTTTCTCTGATGCCCATGCTCTTTCCCACTCGATCTTTGCCTCTTGGCGAAATCGACGCTTCGTCGCGGCAGCCAGGCGAATGTATCGATTGTGGGGATTTTGTGCGTCGTTGGGCTTCTGGGCCGCTTCTTTTGCGAGTTGGTCGACAATCTCGTTTCCCAGCACTCCTTGGTGCGCTGGAATCCACCTGAGCTCGGTTTTGATTCCTCTCTCCGCCAGCCGGTGTATGAGTTCCAGGCATCCTATCAGGTAAATCTGACCTGAAGGCATACGAGGTCGGCGGAGCGCTTTCAGCGCCGCTTGGCTGTCCGCAAAAATAACGAGCCCATTCCTGGCCTGTGCAGCCCAGGGCTCGGTGCTGTTTAGGACCGAGTCCAGCGCCATCTCGATAGCGCGTAGCTCTGCGGCGTACACAGTTGTTGTGTTCTCGTCGCCCATTTGACTGTGGGCGACATGATCTTCGAGGTCAACCACTACCGCTGCTCCCATTCTTCCTTCGATGCCACTTCCATCGGTGTACACTATTAAGGGTCGTTCTTGTGATGCCTGTACCATGATCCCCTCGTGATATTCCACTGCGGTCTTTCTGTCGTCGATGATCACCTCCGGCGGCGTTCGCCATAGTGCCAGGACGAATGCCTTTCGACTCTCCCAGTTCCTCGCTAAAGTTCCCGGGGAAGCCGTCAGACATCCGCCCATCTTCCAGGCTTGCGCTTCCATTGGCGTCCATCCACTCCAGTCTCTTTCGTGTGCCGGTCGGCGTCGCACCATCGTTGGTGGTATACCAAGCTCTGGTCCTGTTCGCAAACGAAGAGCCGTTTCTTTTACTAGCCGGTTCATGTGGATCGAGATGGGTGGTAGGTAAAGCTCCGCGTTCAGTGCCTCCGCCGCTGTGGTTCTGAAAGCTCCACTAATAAGACAAGCAGCTTGTTTTTGGATGGCCGCAAAAGGCCGACAGATTGATTGGGCCTTAGTTTTGCTAATGTGCATAGGCTGATACCATGCGGAGACTCCAAAGAGCATCTGCGGTATGATTACTGCTTGATAAATTTTTCGCATGGCATACAGCGAGGCTCCCCACGTCGAGCCAGCCAAGCTTCGTAGCGCTTTGAGAGAGATACTGGCTTTTGCCACGGCTTTCTCACGGTGACGATGGAAAGTCAGGCTCGGATCTAACCAGTAACCCAGATACCTCTCGGCACTCTCTGTCGCTGGCACAGTGTGTTCTCGTAGACGTAGTGGAAGGTATTGAGGGTCGACTTCTTTGGTATTGACGAAGTGGATGAGGGCATACTTTTTGGGGTCGAAGACTGATGCGTGTTTCTTAGCCCACTGGTCGGCTTTGCGGCATGCGGTCTTGAGCTTCTTGATGGTCTCGCGTTCACTGTCCCCTTTGACCAGAAAACAGACATCGTCTACCCACCCACTGCTGATGATTCCTGGCCCGCAATTCTCAATAAGATCCGCATTGTAGATCAGGTAGAGAATTGGTGATATCGGCGAACCCTGCGGAATTCCTGTGGGCGTTGGAATTGTATCGGACATGCCTTCTGGCATGCGGATTCTCGTGCTGCGGTTGGACAAAAACGCTTTGACCCAGGGAACGAAGTGCCCTAAGCGTCGTTTTCTGAGGTTATGAAGTAAGCGAGCGTGGGAGACATTGTCGTATGCCCCGGAGACGTCTAGCATCAGCAGGGACACCACTGGTTTTCCCTTTCCCCATGCAGTTTTGATGCGGTCGATGATGATGTGGATCGCGTGGTCAGTGGATATGCCGCGTCTACCACCCAGATGAGTCCGAGGGAGTAGTCCTTCCGATTCTGCTGCGTAGCTGATTCTTCGTGCAACTATCGACTCCAGGAATTTCCCAAGCGTGTTGAGTAATGCGACCGGCCTGTATGATTTGGCGAGCTGATAGTCGCTTTTGCCTTGTTTTCTGAGGACAACTGTGATCGAGCGCTGGAAGTGCGATGGATTGTATCCGGTGCGTATGCAGGCGTTAAACAGTTGGACCAGTATGCCCAGGATTGCCGGTATCTCGATAAGTTTATGCCACAGAGAGTTCGGTATGCCGTCTTCTCCTGGCGCTTTCCCTGCTTTCGCTCCTTTCACTGCTTCCTGGATCTCTTGGGCCGTTACTGATGGGAACTCGATCGGTTGCGGGTATTGGAATGATCCCGTGTCGGAGAGGTCAGCTGGTGGCGGTTGTGGGAAGAAGGCAGTCCGAAAGGCTTCTGCTTTCTGTTCAATTGTTTTCGCAATAGCTCCAGGTATTTGGGAATGTTGGATCTTCAGTGAGGGAGTAATGCCCTTTTCGTAGGCTCCATCTCGATTCCTGGCCCATTTTGCTAATCGCCACATGCCTTGTGGCCCGTCTTCGATGACCTGCTGGACGCGGCGCCGGTGTGCTCGTGACAGCGTCTTCTTGATCAGACGTGCTTTTCTGTTGCGCGCTATGGAATAGCACATCCAGTCGTAGGGGTCCTGTGTTTTTGTGTGTCTGCGTCGGAGGCGACGAACCTCCTTCACTGCCGCCTTGCACTCATCTTCGAAATCGGAATTTGACCAGGTCGATGGTTTCGCCCACGGGGTTGAGTCTTCAATTGCTGATTGTACGCTTTCCAGTAGTTCTTGGCATTGAGCCTCTACTTGCTGTGCGTCTGCCTGGGACAGATCTTTTACCTGCAGATTTCCCTCAATCTTTTGGACGAGTCTTTTGCTGTCCGTCGCATTCCAATTTCTTCGCATCTGTTGTATATTAGCGGGGCTCTTGATGTCGAGCACCGTTCGGATGGGGAAATGGTCGGAGGAATGCTCGACGTCGTCTGCTCTTTCGCACTGTATAAGCCTGCCGACTAGGCTTGAGGAAACAAAGGTAAGATCGATCACCGATGACTGCTCATTCCGAGTCCAAGTAGGTTTTCCTTCTTCAGTTGTCATCTCCAGGTTCCATTCATCGATGATCTCGAGAAGCTGTTCGGCCTCTCGATCGGTTTTGGTTCCTACACCTCCCCATGCCGGGTGATGTGCATTCATGTCTCCTAACACCACGTGTTCTCCATGAGGTCGTTTCGATAGCTCACACCTCAGTCGTTCTAGTGTATCGCTGCCTGGTCTGTTGTATATGTTGTGTATGAAGAGGTCTGTCCAGTCCCTGTCTCGGTAGGTCTTCCTGAGTTTCAGTAGTTGGTAGTCCTGTGAAATGAGCTGGCATGACCAAGTGCTTGGGTCAAGCTTTTTGGATACAAAAAGACACACTCCCGGTGGGGGAAGAACTGATTCCTGGTTCTGTTCCTGTACTGCACCTTCTGTCGGGTACAACAATTGGAATGATGCGGTTGCAGGTTGGTGGCTTGTGTGTTGTAGTTCGTTCTTCCATGGCTCTTGCACCGCAACAATGTCTGCTGCTAGGACTTTCTTATCTCTAAGAAACGTAGCCATTACAGGCCACGCCTCGTGTACGTTATATTGAAGAATCTCGAAAGGCTTCATAGTTGATGTTGTTCGTCATCGCTTCGCTCGCTAGTTTCGTGCCAAACTTCGTCGTTTGTATCTTCAATTGTCGACGCGTCCGTTCCAGACACTGGAGGAGAGGATTCAATTGGTACTACCTGTCGCTGTCTGTATTTCAAGACAACCAGCTTGCGGTACTCAGGGCTCTCCGGGTCTAGCTCTTCGTCGACGGGTTCTGGAGTGCTGCCTGGATCGTTGACAGTTGTTACTTCAGTGATGAATTGAGAAAGCCGATGTTCTTGGTTATCTTGCCGGGAGTTGGTTTGAGGGAAGTCAGCCGGGTTGAGTTGGATGTTGAACCAGTCACTGTCATCTGGTTGTTCATCCATGACATCTTCTGGCTCCACGGTGCGTCGTCTTTTGGAATTGACCTCTTCCTGTGTCGCTTTTTGGGAGGCCAGTTGGAACCTTGTCGACCGCTGGCATGCCAGTGGGATCACCGGTGGTTTGGGGGCCTTTGCCCTGGTCCTGGATCCCTTTGGGCGGCCAGGGCCTCTCCTAGATTGAGCGGCTTCAATGGGCTCCATTGTTGTCTCGTCTGCCGCCGGTGTTTCGTCTAAATCGATGACGGTTGCTGGGCAGTTCGTTGAAAGATCCTCTTCTTGACTTTCGGGGGCATGTACTGATGCCTCCATCCCTTCTGGTCTGGTGATGCTGGATTCAGTCGAAGTCGTTTCCTTGTCGGAGCTCGTCCGAGCCCGGAAGTGTAGAGGGATGCGGTGATATGTAGGGCACTCGACCAACGCTTGTTTGGCTTCATTCACCGCCGCAATCTTCACCGGACACTCCCGGCTGGTCGGGCGGTGCCCTTCGCCACAGTTGGCGCACTTGACTGGTATCGCTTGCCCCTTTGTCGACGGGCACTCCCAGGTCGGGTGCCCGCCAGCGCAGTGGCCGCATTTGAAGACGTTGGAACAGTGTGACTGGATATGCCCCGGCTTTTGGCATTTCCTGCAAAGCTTCATCCGCCCTTCGCGACAGAACCGTGAGACATTATGGATTTGCTTTCCCCACACGACACCGGTGACAATCGCGCGATTAGCCATGACTGGGCTGGTGAACTCGATCAGGATCGAGCCCTCCGCCCGTTCACCCGGACGCGTCAGCCATCCGAGATATTGGATCCTTGCGCCTTCGCCCCAGTTGTTCTGCCTGAGCAGTTCAGCTGCAACGTTGGCCATCGTCTCCGGAGTAAGTTTCATCGACTTCACGGGGATATGGTACGCCACCACTCCCCAGGATGGTTCCTGGATCACCGAGCCTGGTCCGAACGCCCTCAGCCACGCACGGTGCTTGCGGAGGACCTCTGCGCCGGCGGCACTGTTGGCGATCATCACCACATCGCCCGAGGGCAGCTTTCGGGCAGCTACGAATGAAGCCTGCCCAGCTAGTACCCCAGAATTTTTCTGTCTGGCAATCGTACTTCTCTGCCGTTCTGCCCGTTCAACCAGGTCCTTGGGCGTCAGACCCCTGATTTGATCACGGTTTGAGCCCACCTTGACGATAATCTCGCGGTCTTCGCGAAGTTCGATCTCTGGCACTCCTGGAGACGACGTACCGTTGCTCCGGGTGTTGGGTGCCACCGCCTTGGCCAGGTCGCGCTGCCATTCTCTGGCTCGGAAGGTGCGCCATGCCGCCGCAGAGTTCGCCGCAGGGGTGGACAAAGTTGTCGATAGAGCGCTCGTGGTCTTTTCAATGGTGTCGATTCGCTGGTTCAGACGGTCAGTGTCGAGGTTGATTTTGGTCAGCGCCTCCAGCACCTTGGCCATCCCCTGGCCATCGCCCCGTTGGGCGTTGATTGCGTACTGGCGGACGGCGCGGATATATCCAGTAACATAGCGATCCTCCGTGCCATTGTTTTCGATGTGGTTCAGCACCCTGCGGGCCCCTTCCGCGATGTCGTCCATGGTTTGGGGCGGATCCGCGAGGGTCGAGTTTTTTGTTGTTCCTCTCCTGACAGGGGGTAAATTCTGTGCATTCGCACCCGTCGCCATCATTGCTGCCATCACCCCTACAAAAAGGGTATTGGATGGTAGCGCTTGAAGTTACGACTACGATGAACTAATTCTCGAGGCCTCGCGACCTCTGGTTGGCTAGATATTCCAAGAAAACGTTTTTGCCAAGAAAGCGTTTCATCTAAACCTTTTTTTATATGGGACATGCAAAGGGGGAACAATTTGTACTGGATCTCCTTCGAAGGCGTCTGCTTACTAAATTAATCAAGGTGGTTAACGTGATTCATATCGAAGCTGCGCACATACCGAAGCTGCGCACCCCACCCAAAAACGCGTCATTTAATTAGACCTTTCTTCTTCAACCACCCACTATGCCACCAATTCGTACTCAATCCTCTCAAAAACGTACGGAGCAAGAGGGTAGGCTCTCATTAGCAATCGAGGCGATTCAGAAGCAAGATTTTACCTCTATACGTGGAGCAGCGCGCTGTTTTGACGTACCCGAATCGACCCTCCGTACGCGTCTCAATGGGGCTCAAAACCACGCAATTGCACGCGTTAAAAAGCTCAAATTGACTGATATTGAGGAGGAATCTCTTGAAAAATGGATTATATCTATGGATTCTCGCGGAGCAGCCCCCCGACCGGCGACTGTACGAGAAATGGCAGATTTACTACTTGCGGCGCGTGGATCTATACCCCCTCTTACGGTCGGCAAATGTTGGGTTACAAACTTTATTAAAAGGCATCCTTTATTATCCTCCCGTTTCTCAAGACGCTACGATTATCAGCGAGCTAAATGCGAAGACCCGAAGGTTCTTTCTGAGTGGTTTTCTCTCGTTCAAAAGACAATCTTGATGTACGGTATCGACTCCGACGATATCTATAACTTTGACGAGACTGGCTTTGCGATGGGCATAATCGCGACTACGAAGGTTGTAACGAGAAAGGAATTCTACGGTCGGCGATCACTTTTACAACCTGGAAATCGCGGGTGGGTGACTGCAATTGAGTGTATAAGTTCGACGGGGTGGGCGCTTCCTCCGTGTATAATCTTTAAGGGCAAAGTCTTTATTGAATCTTGGTTCGATAACCTCCCGAACGATTGGAGACTCGAGGTTAGTCCTAACGGATGGACCTCTGATGAAATTGGCCTTCGATGGCTCGAGAAGCTCTTTATTCCGTCTACTTCTTCTTATACGAAGGGGAAGTATAGACTCTTGATACTTGACGGCCACGGTAGTCACTTGACTCCGAAATTCGACGAGCTTTGCGAGAAGAACAATATTATCGCAATTTGTATGCCTCCGCATTCATCTCACCTTTTACAGCCCCTTGATATTGGCTGTTTTGCCGTATTAAAGGCCGCCTACGGTCGACTTATTGATTCGAAAATGCGGCTTAAAATCAACCATATCGAGAAACTAGACTTCCTCGATGCCTACCCTTCCGCGCGAATTGAGGCGTTTAAACCGGAGACTATTAAGAATAGCTTCTCGGCCGCTGGTTTATTACCTTTTAACCCCGATCGGGTTCTCTCGAAGGTCAATATTCTTACGCGTACGCCGACCCCCCCTCGAGCCGAGGGAGCGAGTGGGAGCCAAAAACGCCCTCAAATTATATCCAGTTACAAAAACAAGCTTCCTCGATAAAAGCCTTGTTAAAACAGCGCTCAAAAAGCCCTCCGAGTCCGCTAAATTCAGCGATTAATCAGGTTTTAAAAGCTTGTCAAATCACTATGCATTCAGCAGCTATTCTCGAGAAAGAAGTAAGCGATTTACGCGCTGAAAACGAGAAGAAGAAGCGAAAAAAAGGCTAGATCTACAAGGCAGATAGTTTCTCAAGAAGGCCTTTCAGTTCAAGATGCCTCTGCCTTGCTATTAGAGCGAGAGCAGGCTGTTTTAGCGCCTATATCCAGTGAGGCAAATCAGGGTTTAGCACGTTTACAGCCACGTACGCGGGCGTTACTGAGATGCTCAGAATGTGGAATTCAAGGTCATAATAGAAGGTCCTGTCCTACTAGATCTCGCAGTTAGTTTAGTCAAATTTGATGGCGTTTTGGTTGAGAAAAATCCATTTTAAATGACTAAGTTGGGTGTGGTGCGCAGCTTCGGTATGTGCGCAGCTTCGATATGAATCACGTTAACTTAAATAACTTCCGTAAATTGTGGTTGGTTGTGTACCATGCATGGCCACCTAAAACACGTTGTCGCGGAACCTCTTAGAAAACGAAAGGCACATTGCGATGAAATATGGCAAGAAATGAAAGTAATTTTTGTTAAAACTTGATGGGGTGTATAATGTAGACATAACTGATACTATCGTAAACTTATTGTAATGTCTGCCACGTCTCGTTGAATACAGGAGCTGAACCACAGGACTGTACCAAATTCGAAAAGCAGGGGGGACGGCAGAGTACCCGATCGTGCATGATCACGATCCCGTAACGTGAAGATTGGAATACCGTTAGACTTCGAGAGGGTAGAGCAACTTTTTAAATTGTCCAGACTGTTCGCTGTTCGTTAAGGGCGAGCACAGTTGCTGCTGGGTCGTTGTACTCGGTCATAGGATTTAGCGCGTGTTGGTGTAACAGGAGAATGTAAAGCTGGCTCTGGAGGTGGGCAACACGACTGACCCCGAGAAGCACGTGGCCAGGAAATCTCTAAAATTAGAGTTCCTTACAATACATGTTCAGTACGCTTTGTATGTAATGGGCTGTACAAAACTATCCTTAATAAGCAGATCAGGTACTCTAAGAATTTCATGTGTGAACAAGCATTAAACTATTTCAGATTTGGACAGTGAACAAGGTATATAATTTCTAGTATATGTTGATCAGTGGGATCTGTTTACCAAGATTTATAAGCTTAATTTTGTAAAAACCGGCGGGTTGGGGACCATGGGACCTTAGCACTGTTTGCCATAGAAACCTTCTTAGGGAACGGAAGTCTACTTGCGATGAAATATGCCAACCGATCAACGTAATTTTGGGTGACAGCTCGACAGTCTATAATGGACACAAATCAGGTATTATTTAAATCTGAGCTTGTTGATATACCACCAGTCGATCAGCTTTATTGGCGTTGTGTTTCGAAGTACCGGAAACTCGAGCGGCTTGGAGGGGACACGGTTGCGGGGGGACGCACGTTACCCTCGATCAACGTTAGGGAGTCAATTTCTTCCACGACCTGGCTAATAATTGACAGTTTTGCTAGCATTACCGATATAGGCCTCCGTAATACGCACTTCAATGAATAAATCATACTTATTATATGTCTGTGGCGTAATGGGCATTGATCCTAATCCCGCGGTAAATTGTTGTTTTTCGATGACCGTTGTTCATGTCAAGGAAGTCAGGCCAGCACGCCGTATTGGCGATACATAATGAAACTCTAGACACTATTAGAGACGCAGTGAAATCCTTGGGCTTTCTCCAAATGCTTAGAGATTGATTTGATAAAGAATGATTTAATTGTGCTCGAAGTACTATCATACAGTTTCGTCACACCGCCTTATTTCGCCACCTCATACGTACGTTAAGTGACCACTGAACTGGTTACTGAAATAGTCCATTGTTGGGGCATATAACCAGTTAATTTTGCTTTTGAGCTGGTCTCGGTCATTTCCGGCCATCCTCTCGGTTAACTTAGCTGAATATTCCGAGTCCCTATTTCGTCATGTTCATGGATAGACCAACGCCCAAGCCGGTCAACTCAACCAGGTCGAACTGAGGCGAAAGTGGTTCCGTTATTCTTGCGGCCAAAGTAACAAGCGTCGCTCCCTCCGCATTAGCAAGTACTTGCCCAGTACTGTGTCATCATTGTGTTCTTTCCTAGAAGTCAGTCTCGCACTTAAAATAAAAGTTCTCCGGATCTTGGCCGATAACTCTCACTGTATGAACGTCAGTCAACATGTGACCGAGTATACGAAAGGTCCCACTTCATAGATCTTGGGGGATAAAAATAATCATCGCAGCAGGACGTGAAGGTAATGTTAACATGCTTTCATTGGTGAAACTCAAGAGATCCAAGCCTAATTGCACAAAACTGAAGCATGTCTCGAAAGGCGTAAATTATGGCTTCTTCAGGGGATTTATCGCCCTTTGTCCTGTACTGTAATTGTAAAACAGCCAAGGGCTAGAAGATCTAGCCCCATCTCTTAATTATTCTGTATAATCTTGCCACATGAAGCTCATTTGGAGGCAACAATTTCTCATTACCGAAAATATGCAGCTGTATGCTCTTATCTTCACTTCCACAGTCGTCTATTTCCCAAAGCTTCCGAATAGTGAATTCAAGTGGACAGTTTCAAGTGAAAGCCAAACTGAAAAAAAAACCTTCTTAATTCCATTTGAGAAGTATTGGTTGCTTCGGAGGTTACGTACTCAGTCCAATGTAAGTAAAGTAAGAGCATAGCCCGCTATCTAAATTCGGGGTCCGACCGGGATAGCTTAAAAGTTGTCATCAGCTCAGGGAGGCACGCCTCGCTACATCCGAAACGAGAAGATATGCTAAATCCTTGTGATCCAGCGGATATATATAGGAAAATCCTTAGCTTGTCTCAAGGTAATTTACTTTCTCAAGAAGGAAAACTGATCATTCCATGCATGAGTATGGTACTTGGGAGAAGAGGATGCGCAATGCTCTTGCAAAGCCACGGTATCCAACTGAGCACTAACCAGATTGATATCAGTCTAGTTCGCAGTTATTAATTTGCAAATTGGTGGATTATCAGCAAAATTTTATAATAGTAACAAGCATAATTTCGTCATCCAGTCCACCCAGCCAATTTCATCATTCAATTTACACAATCTTATCTATCGAATTTTCTTCATTAGAATAGAAAATTTCGCTTTGCGATTTCTACCTTTTCTGTACCACCGTTCTAAGTATTAAAATTTCAATAACCGTAATATCAGCCCAATGGGTGTATATTCCTGAGACATGTGTAGCGGAAGTGCATAGGATTGTGGAATAGCTGGTTGAGATTGTCCACCCTATACGATTACATATGCCTAAGGCGGGCGTGAATAAATAGACGAAGGTACGGGAGATCCCCGCCGCAGGGCGGTTGTTCTCGATTGAGGTGGAGCAAGGGCTAAGCGTACTTGCTTTTTATCCTGCATTTGCGATCTTGCTTTTCTCCGCCGTCTTACCCACACCACTAATATCAGGAATATGAACCCTCCCGATGCGACACTGCCGACAGCGATACCAACGCTGGAGCTAGTGATGGGGCGTTGGGTAGCGGAGCCATCTGAGGTTGAAGATGATGATGAAACCGTGCTTTCGTGTTTAGGAGACCCCTGAATAGATGGAATTGCGCTAAATTCTATATCGGGGAGGTGTGAACATTTTGCACTGGAAGTGATTATGGATGCAGCTGTGAAGATGCTGTGGATGACAGTGATTAGCTGAGATAGCATCTTGCGATTTGGTGGAAGGCAGTACTTTAGAGATAAATGCTTGGAATTTGTTGCGATGCCTTCTGGACTTTCTAGGTATGGCGTCGATTGCAAGAGAAAGGAGCTCTTCGTTCTAGTATCAAGCACCGCAGCTTGGTATACAACTTTGGCGTTGTCTGTTCGTCTTGTTGAAAGTGAACTTGTCCCTTCGCTTCTTATCGGGAGAAGTGTTGTGGAGGATTGGCCCCCAGTGAAGGGGATCAAATTACTTGTCGAAGAATCGGCGATCCCAATGTAAAGGTTTCCAGCCTCTCCAGGGGATACGGTCTGAAGCTTTCTGACCTCGGATAGATCGTGGTGTAGTTCGCTGTGCCGCGTGATTGCTTCTTGGGTAGAGGACAGGGAGGTTACTGGAGAAATTTTTCCCTTGATAAGATCACGCGCGGATGAGAGAGATATGCTCTTTGGTTCACTCGTTGTGGGTAGAGCATTTATAAGGAAATTTTCCGAGGTAATCGATTCCTGGTCGCTGGGGAATATTACTTGAGAGGGGACGCTAGTCAAATAGAAGATTGTTGGCTGCGAGTATTCTTTTGTTGGGGTAAATCCGCATCGTAATGACAGTGGAGTAGTCAGTGCAGAATTTGATGAAAAAGTGTCTTGGCTTGATGTTGAATCATGTCGCGACAACCATGATATATCGCCCTTCGGGAATAATGACTCTCGTTGTAATTCCTGTGGCGTTTTGGAGCTCGGATTTAGTACCACATCATCTCTGTGCGATGTTAGATCATGGTGTAATTGGTCCGACGTGTGATGTCGTATTAAGGGAGACTTCGGTTGCCTTGACTGCGGCGCAGTTGATATACGAGTTTGTGGGATATGGTGCCCCGTGAATATTGATGCTTGTCGTCCTGAGCTTGACGTGGTAGGGATATAAGTTTCCGTTGGTGATGGATCTTCTCCTGATGTTGGATTCTGTCTGAATGAGTGGAACGCAGTCGGAAAACTTTCGAGCAATGTCGAATATTGATGCAACGGCAGTAATGCGTCATATTTTTCGGATTTTGACTCTTGCTGTAATAACAATGACACTCGGGTCCGGATATTTGGTCTTAGGGATGAAATAATAGGACTTGTGAGCTGGATAGATAGTGGCTGTTGCTCTTGATCTGATGTCTGTGGCATAATCAGGTTTGATGTAAATCACTGATTCTTTTCCGCTGGTTGAGAAAAGATCGAATCCGGACTATGAGGCACACTGTGGGAGGTTTATTTAAGTACCGACCTCAACTGAGCTTTCTACTTGTTTCCGTAAGCAGGTGTTATGCCCTTTTGGCCCATCTGAATGATATTTCATCATCCGCTTCTACTGATAAAAGGATGACCGATTCTTGTCATCTAGTCGTCGAATGAAGAAGGGTTTGCAAGTCCTCACTGCCTGATAAGAGTCTCGGGGTTTTTGCGTAATACCACGCAACATTAACTTTGCTTCGACATTCGACGAGGGTGGTCAGAGAGGAAGAAGCCAAACTGTAGCAAATTCTAGCGAATTTGTCACTGTAACGACCGTTAATTATTTTTTGCTCCCTGGGTCATCCCCAAACGTGGTAGTGCCGTTCTTTACCTGATGAAACTTATCTAAACATATATCCAGCGGCCGGTGACCAAAAAAATGTCCAAGACCAAAAGCTATATATATGGCCTGCCAGTGATAGCAGTCTTGGTGAACGAGCCTACTTCCTGAAATTAGCAAACCTCACGCTAGATTATCAATCACATTTTCAAACGATGTTTGTCCCCAGCATAGTCATTGGAAATAGGGTGTTCAGGCGTCAGAGTGAAAGAAGCAAGAAGAAGGGAACCAATTATATCCAAAATATAAAATTTCATGCGCTGTTGAATATAACGCCGATTACACTTTGGTGAATTCTCAAAAGGGGCCAGTATCACCTGAAGCCATTGCAAGTTTCTTTGTGATGCAACGCTCCTGCTGCTTCTACTGCGATCAATCCAATTGGCGAACGCTTATGAAACAAGTATCCTGGCGACTTCAATCTATATTTCAACTATGTTCGGTTTATTTCCAAAGGTTTCATATCACAGGACTACTGGTATATAACGCTACCGATCTACTATATACGCTGAAATCCATGGTCTACTTTATGTGCACCTCTGCCATTCTTCGAAGATTGTATCCACCAACGTCTATTTTGCTGAACCACATCCTCGGTTCGGGAAAAAGTTGGATACATAATTCTGCCCCAATATTGGGCACTGAGCGAGATCAGATCCCGTGGGCTCCTTTCAGTAACGTTCTGTGTGAGTTTCTCATATGTGGGGGTCCTGAGCCCCTTTTGACATATGCTGGTGGATAGCTGGGCGTTCCCCTCTTAGTTCTTCATAGCTCCAACGAGGCTATAGTCCAACAGCTGGTGCCCCATGATGATAGAAAGCGTGGTCTCCCACATGTAGTAGTCATGATCCCGACTAACAACGATCCTGGTCGGGCGCGTTTTGTTCGCATGATCATCCAGTCTGGTCTGTCAGAGTCTCTAGTAAACAGATTTTACGGTGCAGATTGAAGCCTCTAGGCTGCTATACTTGCAGCGCCAATGGTATTGCTCTGTATTCTTTTAACCCGCTGTGGCTCAAGACTATAGTCATATCACTGTCAACGGCCCTAACAACTCACTAAATCGTTATTTGGCTCTACAGTACACAAGCTTCATATTTGCAACCTTCTTACTATCACTGAGCCAGCTCTGGAAGATACAAAGGCATTTGTTACTTGTTTTCCAATTAATATTATATGAAACGCTGTTGATAAGATCCCTTGGATCTATACCTTTCTTTCAGAAGCACGCGCTTGGCTTAGCCCGGTCGCGGGTGAAAGCACACTCAGTGCTCAAGGATGCTGAAAGGAATCTGAAATTTTCCTCAAAGCCATTGTTGTTGGAAAGAGCAATATGTGTAATGAATCTTTAAAACATATTCTGATTCATTGTGACATCACGTAATATGCTAAGAAACTCTCATTTTCAATGGTTATAGCTAGAAGATTCACGACAGATCATATATAGAACATAGTCCCGGACAGTGGGGTGAATCTCCAACGCGCTGGTCGTTACTAGCCTGTCGAAGTTTCTGGTGCGTTACCTTTGCATAAACAGACCAGACACAACAGCCAGGTGATAATATGATCGAACCATAGCACAAGCCTGAATAGCGTGGCGCACCGGAGTGCAAGCACTTGTTGCCTGCGTGGACTCGCCAGACAAGTAGCAGAGAGTACTAGTAAGCTTCTGCAGCAAATTGGCCGAGGCGGACCGCCTGCGAATAGCCTCGTCGAATACCACAAAGTATCGAGTCGGTCGATTGGGGCGCTGCGTATTGTTTCGCGATTGAAGGAAAAGGTCCCAGTAGCGAATGTCCGTGAGAACTCAATCAACAACAGTATCAGCCAGCGAACCACCGGAGCAGTGACCTTCTCTATCTGCTGTGGGGACCAACTGTGCGCCATGGTTCTCGTCTACGAGCACTATAGCGATTCGGGGCAAGTCGTCTTTCACCGAGAGCTTTGAAGCCCTACAGGTATCCATGATCATAGATATTTCCTTTTCAATCCAAGACTCATGCTCGCTCCCAAAAGTCAGCTTACGATAGATCACAATATCCTCCGGGAGCTTATTGCCAATTTTCTTTTGCCCAAGACCGAATTTGAAATTCCAACATCTTGTCGAGCTTGTGGATATGCGGTTCTTTGCCGAGCTGCAAACGAATCTCCACAGGCCACTAAGCAAGGCCAGAGTCTTAAAATGCGGCGAATATTGCTTTAGTGAAACAATTTACTTCGGACACTGATCTGGCATAGACAACACTGATACCCATTGTCATGGTTTTACCGCTAGCCAAGAAGCCAAGATCGGATGCGTAAACCACATGATTCTCCCCACCAAGCTTTAGGTTCATCATAAGACCAACTCTAGTGTATCTCCTTTGATCAGCACCTGCCAGCCATTCGTCCGTGAGTTCGATAGTAGGTATGCCATGAGTAACATCGCAGGTCAGTCTTGCAAGGCTTCCTAATTTCTTGGCTTTCGGAGACAGCATCACAATAAGGATGGATGGACGATAATTTGCCTGCAGAAATGAAATAGCGTTTTCAATACCTGCTGCCTTTTGGTCCTTGCTGAACCGGATAATCCTGCCGGGTATAGATCCCTTCTTATCTTACGCCAGCCAGTACTGGCCGGTGCATTTTAGCCACGCTATTCATGTGATTGATTCAGCGACAGAATTCTCGCGTCCATTCTTCCGAGTGAACTCTCCCATCCGAACAGAATGGTGGAAAGTTTACTGTGAGCAGGAGAAGAACGGCGGCAGCCCGCCCACCTTCACTCTTTTGCATCTCGCGGCATACTTTGGAAACGTACCCCAGGCCAAAATTTTACTCGGCACACATACCTGTCTCATTTTGCGGAAGGACAATTACGGCCGGACAACTTTGTACTAGGCAGTCAACGGAGGTCACCGAGAAATGAACATGGGGCACGTGTCAACTTCAAGGATCGAAGCATGTTAACTGTTTTACAAAATCACTAATCGGTCAAAACAGAGACGTTGTGAGGGTGCTGCTCGAGCACGGTGCCTGCATCGAGACCAAGTGGGAAACTAGCGACACGGACACCCCATTGGTGCGAGCCATTTTGGTGAACTCGAAAGAAATTACGGAGGAACTACTCCAGCAAGGAGCACGTGTGGATACCATCTCTTCTGGGAGTTGCTTGTCTGAGGGGGCCTACGGATTCATTGGATGAACGGGTGAAAGAGCTACTTGGGTTCCAGGAGCAGGTCCTGAATGCGCGCTTCAAGAATTCGACGCGAGCTGTGGACCTGGTCACGAAGGGACTGGTCCTATCCATCCGCATTCCTCTGATCCTTGAATTGATGACCCTCTACCTCAAGTTTCTGGCGTTGAACCGTATGGACAGCCTGCCTATGCTGCGGGAGCTGGTCCAGGAGATCAAGAGGAAGCAACTGCGGGCATGGGCAAAACCGTACCATGTGTTCCTCGTGGGGCTGGTGTATGCCAAGAGTGCAAGGAAGCTCCAGGCCATGGGCGACCTGCCGACATATGTCTTGCAGAAGGTCATACGCGGAGATATGCAGGCACTGGTGGTCATCATGACTTTCACCGGCATGGAGCCGAAATTCACAGCTGTCCAACACAGATGTAAGCCAGGAGACGACATCACATCTGCGGCATATCGCAGACTGGGCTGCCATCACCCAATAGGGGGGCTCTCTGAAGTACATCCACCTCGGCATCGGAAAATTCCTGATCAATTTCGATGGTTGTATCAGGAATACGTTACCAGCCCCAACAATGTCACACACTTTGACAAAAACCACTTAATTCCGTGAAACTCGGAGCTCCTTATCAAATACCAAATTTGAACGTCATGCCAAATGAGCCAACTTTAAGCGGTGAGTCAATTGTAGTTTCCCATTCAGCGTGAGCCCGGGGCATATATGGGGGGAGTACCTCTCCAAATCGATTTGAAGAAGCATTCTTTATCAAGTTTTATGCTCCATGAAACCATGGAGGCGTGCATCATGGGATTGTCTACATTCCTCTTGACCTTCTGGTTGCATCTATGCTTACGTCAAGAAAGATTCTCGGCTGCGCCAGCCCCCCGAGCCCCAATACAATCAATGGAAGCAATTCGGTCGAGAAGCCCGAACCAATCCCGATCTCCGAATCGTCTAAGAACTCCAAACCATCCAAGCCATTCAAACCAGCCAAGGTCAATCAAACGCCATCTGAGCCAAGCCTTAGACGCTCCTTGCGTACTGGAGGTGCACAAGGGCCAAAAATGCATAAAATTACTTAAGAAGGCAAGAATAAAGAGCTTATCCGTACTTGAGACGTTCAGACACCACTGCACGGCGATACATTATCCATCAGTCAGTTTTCACATTGAGAATAATTCAAGATCTACCTTACTAAGCTCTTTCTACGCTCTCTAGAAATTTTATATTTCTTACTTAATGCAGACAGCTGGAATTGCGTAAAATATTGAAGCAACGTGACGCAGAGAGCAGATCAATTAGTCCTACTGTTCGCTATAACAAAGCCCCAAAGGACATATTAATGGCTATGCCGACTAATGACAAGGTACAAAGTTAGAAATCTCTCCGATAGCTGGCTGATGAGTGATATTTGCCCATCTGGTGGATGCAGATTTGAGTAAATATTAGAGATTATAGCTGGAAGGAATGCAAGCCCGATTCTTGGTGCTATCTCATTTCCACTCTCAGCCCATGCTGAAGTCCACATTCGAAAGATCTTACCTGCTTTTTCTCCTCGTATTTTTTACTGAAACTAGTACACAAACACAGTCGCAATTCCCCAGCTGTCAATAAAGTAAATTATCAAGTCGAGTGTACAGGCAGGGCATTCTATTCCAACCCCAATTTCTTCGCAGACACCCCTAACCTCAATCGATCATCTTGATGGCATTTCCAAGCATTAGCATTCCATATGTTGTGGTTACAAGCCCTGGTCCCGAACGCCTGGTTTTAGAAATTATTTGCCCGAGGCTCCGACCATGTATGACATGTGCAATGAAAGAAATTGAGCCTCCAAGGTACCCACGTCTCATTGGATATTGTCGAAGGAGATGGGTCGGACGTAGAAAGGCACGAGGCTCCTTGCTCTCTCGCTTTGGACCGTCGATACGAGACTGTCGATAAAACAGGTCAGTCCCAAATGAAGCCAGAAGATCTTACGCTATGACCCATGCGATACTTGGACTGACCGTTACTTTGGATACTCGACCGTTTCCAGTTTCCAATTTACCTCAATGTTAGTTTTGATGCGGGGATTTCCTCCTCCAATCAACTGGCCAGTTCTGCACGATCGCATGTCGAACTCAATTACAAGATGAGGCTTTGTGTAGTTGTTAACCAATATTATGAGCTACTATTCTAGCCCTGCGGTCCAATGTAGTAATTTATTTCCGTGATTGTTTGGAGATCGGTTTCCCAAGACGAGTCAACTGGCCAGTTCTGCACGATCGCATGTCGAACTCAATTACAAGATGAGGCTTTGTGTAATTGTTAACCAATATTATGAGCTACTATTCTAGCCCTGCGGTCCAATGTAGTAATTCATTTCCGTGATTGTTTGGAGATCGGTTTCCCAGGACAAGTCAACTGGCCAGTTCTGCACGATCACACTTCCAAGCCCATTGCAGGAAGTGGCTTTGTAGATTCATTAATGAATACTTTCAGCTACCATCCTCACTTTGCGCTTCATGTTAGATTTATTGAAGTATTAGTTTTGAAGTATTGGTTTCTGAATTGGCCTATCGCCAACCAACTGGCCAATTTAAATCATCCAACCTCTGCCCCCATTTCCACAAAGTGGCAAAAGATAATGTATATTTTTGCTTTTAAATAATCTAAACTGCTATCATGGCTTTTTCACCGAATGAACACTGCTGTATGCCTCAACTCAGGTTCTGAACCGCATGTAGGGCTACCATGTAGAATATGCATGGCCATATTATTAGTTATCATCCAAGCAAATTACCTAATTTTTGAAGGAAGCCAAGTGGGTACAAGAACTTGTGAACAATACCCACGGGTAGGGGACAAGTTCGGGAATAGGTAGGAGAGACGTTCTTGCTAAACCCCCACAGCGACTGAATGAACTTCGTGTTTTTTCGTGTATGCGAAGCGGTCGGGCGGCAAACGAACCGAAGAATACGGAAGGAACATTGCAATTTTACAAGAGATCAGATACTGCTAGACGCCTAGCGGCTCATTTGGAACTGTATTGGGAGCCAACCACATCAACCGTGGCGGGCGAACCCGAATAATCACTTGAATATACGGTGTATTGTAGACCATAATGCGGTGCAAGATCCCATCCCGCACGGCACCCAGATCATCACCACACCCCATTAGATGCGAACGAACGTCCTCATGAAACGTATCAACTCGTCCCCAGATAGGACGCGGTGGAAAGCGCGAGGGAGAGAATCCAGTGATATGAAGTTCCACCCACTCCATCCAGAATACACCTAACTGCTCCCTGATATACTCAAAAATATCTGCTATCCCCGTTGAGACCCCCATCACATCTGGATCCTCCCATTGAGCAAATGGAGACGATGGGGAGGTGGCTACGAGGATGAAATGCTCGGCTGAGCGTAAGCGATATGAGTCAATGGGTCTGACCACCTACACCAGGAATGGATCCCTGACCTCCCCCACTCTTCTGAAGCCACTTCAGGACAAACGATTGCGTACTTTCGACCGGTGCCTTATTTGTGGGCTGCGTCCGGGCCTGTTTTGCTTCCCCTGGCTCTGTTTTGATTATCGGCCGTTGTGTGAGACCTGGCGAGGACAGGGAGTTGAGGGGTGGCCGGCTGCTAAAAATGTCTTTTTTTCCACATATCTCAGAAGCCTCACACGAGAAACTACTGATGGAAGAAGCAGACTGGTTGCTTTTGCAGCGTCTGGATGACATCTTGGAGTTGGTCGTTCCTCGGCCTTCGCTGAGGATCGTTGGGACAAATACGCACGCGTATGCAGGAGTATGCCCAAGGAAAGATTTTGAACATCGAGGGGGTACATCACATGTTTATTATATGTGCATCTTATCGTGTCACTGACCCAATATCCAACGGCTATCCACCAACGAGAAGATCATAGTGGATTTGCGTGGATGTCTGCGGTCTGACCCACAAGAAGCTAGCCCTTTGCCCCAATGGATATCGCACGCCATCCTGACATTCTCCATCTGAGCCAATGTGTTGGGAAAGCCTGTTAATATCTATCTAGGTAGGTCACCGTGACATCTTAGAGTAGAGGAGATCGCAAATGACTCCTGGAACAAGACCCAAGATTAGGCTGGCACCTTTCTGCAGGATACACATAACACAGATTTGTAAGAAACGTCTGCCTAGCATCACTAAAGGGCGTACATGCATTTTTTCTGTCCATGCACGGCCATCAAGTTGATTTAAATGAGAACGGACGTCCAAGAAAATCAGGCGACACTGTCGCCTGGCACTTACCCGCGGGTGAACCTGAAGAACCTGACCTGAACCTCCATTTGGGCGGGTCAGGTTCTGGGGTTTGGAACCTGAGGGAGGTTTCATCCGAGGACCGAACCTCATCAGGTTCACCCGCGGGTGAACCTCAGGTTAAACAAACATGACAAACAGCTAAAAAACGTGACTCGGGCCCAGTTGCATAAACTATGTCGAAACAGGCTGTATTCCATTGTAATTGTTAACCAAAATTTGATTACTGTATAGCCTTACAAAAGGATACTGTATGTCCAATAGTGTATGTTATAGCTTTATCTTCAATAGGGCTTTTAAATATCAGTAATTCACATCATATCTAGAGTACAGGGTTCTTAAGACTCTAACTGTTAAACTATATACCCATCTAAGAGTCTCGATCTTTTCCGCATTCTTCCTGATACACGCTGCTACATATCAGGTAATGGTAATGCTGAGGTCTCTTCTGGATCCTTAACGTCATCGGCCTCAGAGTCTTCCTCCTCGTCAGAATTGATAGCTGGCCGCTTTCCAGCGGCAACCGCTGAGAGTGGTGCTACGGCCGGGGTGTTAAGGTGCATCTCCATGTCTTCCTCAGTATCACTGATAGCTTCGGCACAATGTGTTTCAATATGAAGCTCTTCGGACGAAGCTGCGATCTCTTGCTCTGAAAGATACTCTTGGAGAACCTGCCGCTGCTCCTCCTTCGTATCAAATCTTGTTGTACACATGTATAACATGATATCGCGGATAGTCTCTGGGCTCAACGACCCCCGGCGATAGTGGCAAATGTCCCGGGCAGAGTTGAAAAGTCGCTCAACACCGGCACCAGTCGCTGGGATGGACATCACATCACGAGTAATGCTTGCAAGAATAGGGAACTCCCTCTCGTGGTTTCTCCAGAAGATCTGAGCGGATTCATTAACGGTGGCTAAAAATATCAGTATTATGATTCATACCGGCGGCTTACTCACTTACCACTCTGGAGGTACTTGGTAAGCTCATCCTGATACGGACTGGTTGATCGCAGTAAAGAATCGCCCTTAAGAATCCTCTCGAGCGCTGATTTGGCTGGGACCGATACACCATCCGACGGTGATATATTTGATGGTGCACGTAGACGGTATTTCTCGAAAAGAGACTGGAGACTCTGACGGTATTCCTTTTTGTAGTCTTTTCCTGTGTCATCTGGGGCCCAATCACTTGTTGAAAAGAA